AGAGATTCAAGGCACAGAATGGCATGTCTGACTATTTTTTGCTATTGTTGGGGTTATTTATTTAGTTTTAAAAGAAATCTCAGGATTTAGAATCAAAACTGGCAATTCAACAAATGGCTGGGGATAACAATTTTTTTTTATCATTAGTTGTTCTACATCAGGAAATGGCTTTTTATTTACACTGAAAAATATTTTGACTTTCTATATTATTGTTTGGGTTGTCAATATGGTATATTTTTAGTGATTTGTGTAATGTGCCCTGTATTTGAGAATTCTGATGATATGCAGAAAAAATGGGCTCATTTCACTTATCTTCTATTGATCAATTTTTTAAAAGTCTTAATAAAACTTGATGTTCTGTTCTTCCATAGAAGGAAAAAGAGTTGATAAGAATTGCCCAGCATTCTAATGGCAGAAATCTTGAGCCTGGGCAATGAGGGAGTTTTTCATAACTTCAGTGGGCACAGGAGACTGTAGTGGTCTCAGTAGATGCAAGGCTCTATTCAGTAGCTCACATTTTCTGCATCTTCAGAAAGGCTGATTGCATTGGAAACTGCACAAGGACAGGAAATCTCCAGTAGAGGAAAAAGATCAGCATTTGAAGCATTTGAGGGAATTACCAAGGTTTCTTTTTTATTACAACTAGTGTCGCTATAAGCAGTCATTGTATAATTTTTGTCAGAAAGAAATGTCTACTTCCTTTAAGGAAGTTCCTTAAAATGGAAATTTCTCAAGTCAAATATATATTTCTCCTAAGTCTATTGCTAATATGCTATCTATAACTTTTTAAGATAGTTTTCATTAACTAGGATTTCTTTTTACTTTATGCTAGGGATAACGGATGTATAAAGGAATCTACATTTTCTTCACTTGGATTTTTAAAATTTCTGGTGGAGCAGTGTTTTGCATGTGATAATTTGTGATCTAATACCAGTGTGCTGTTTTTATATGCTTGTATGAAATATCAGAATAAACTTTTAAAAATCTTTTAATCACTGTAATAATAGTGTCATGAACTTAAATGCCAGATAAGAGTGCTTAGTATTTTCCATGTATTATCTAATTTAATTATCAAGATAGTCTTCTCACAGGATACCATGGTTAAGAGTTTAGTCAGATAGTCTTGAGTTCAACTCTCACCCCAGCTATTCCTTCTGTGACCACTGGAAAAGTTAGTATCCCTTCTGAGCCCCAGTTTCTTTATATAATGAGGGTAATGACTGTCCCTACTTCATAGTATTAGTATGATGCTTAAGTGAGATGCTACATATATGACATCAAGCATATGTGCACACTAGATGTTAGTTTCTACTGAGACCATTGTTTTTCTCCCTTGGTTAATTCAGTTTGTTTTCAGCTTATCATTATATTACAGCATAATGGTATGGTGCTGTGCATATATTCTTCTTCATTCTCATGACAAATACTGTGGGGTGTATTGGTCAGCTTTGCATAACTACAATAAAATACCTGATACAAGCTGTTTTTGAAGTATAGAGAGATTTAATTTGGCTCATAGTTCTGGAGTTTCAAGCTCAAAATCAGGTTACCCATTGGTTTGTATCGCTGGCAAGGGCAGCTCTCAAGTCAGGAGGCAGAGAGGAAAAGACTGGGATCCTAGAGTGCCATTGGCAGACCTCCAGTAATCTAAGGCACTCCACAAGGCCCCTCCTCTTAAAGATCTATAGTACTTCCCAAAACCACTCTGGACCCACAGGCCTTTGCATGTAGACCATTGGGTCTTTTGACTAAATGTTCCCCATTCTTTGAGATCTTTCCCAGCCCTGCAAATTGATTGATCTCTCATTCCTCCACTAGCATCTCATTTCAGTTTCTTTGGGGCATCCATTTTGTGGGATTGAGTTCTTTAAACATATGTCACCCCTGCAGATAGTGACACCCTCCATGTCAGAGACCATGCCTTCAATTCATCCATCTTTGCATCACCTATGTCCTCACACACAGTAAGGGCTCAGTCAGTATTTGTTCAGCCAAAGAACACACTTTTTATTTTGAAGATCAAGTTTGTATTAAATTTGAGGATTACCTTTCTTATTATTACCAGTAACACACATTATGAACCATTCTTCATATTTTTGTTAAGACAGATTTGAGAAGAAAAAGCCATTTCCTTATGTTTTTACACTAAGAACTGTGCATGTTTCTTAAACCCTGAGAATAGGCACCGTGGAGCAGATTGCTGGAGTACATAGGTGTAATTGAGATCATGAACTATTTTTATTCATTAGTATCAAATGAATTTCTATATGTGTAAATTTTCACAGTGCTTCTTTCCTTCATGCTCTTTACAAATGTATTAGTCTACTTTTCATGATTATAGCAAAATAACTGAGGCAGGCTAACTCTATCAAGTAAAGAGGTTTACTTAGCCAACAGTTTTAGAAGCTGAAACTCCAAACAACATGATGCAGTCTCTGACAAGGGCTTCTGTGGCTGCCTCACTTCATGGCAGATGGCAGTGATAGAGCATTGTTGGAGAAGATACCATTTTGGAAAACTGGAAGCCAAAGAGAGTGGACAGGTGTTACATGTGGCCTAAGGACCTCCCACTTGGTCTTGCTTCTTAATGGTCCCAGGATCTCCACACAAGGTACCAGGCCTCCAACACATGAACCATTGGGAGACAAACTACATCCAACTTTTGGCCACATTGCTGTGGATAGGACTCAAACAAAACGAGTGATCTGGTTCTGTGAGGGAGGGTACAGATTTGATAAAAACTGTTAACCTAGGCTTAACATTCTTCTGCAAATTGAAATAATTTGTTTTACAGTTCTCTGTAAAATGATCTTCTATTCACCAAAAGCTATAGCAAAGAAGTCAGCTATGCTAGGCTGGTACCAGGATCAAGTGCCAGGGACAGGAGCTTGGCATCTGCAGAAGTTATCCTTGCTACCTAGACAGCCAAAAGCACACGGAACTGAGGCATGTGTGAAATTCCAGTCAGCAGGGTTTACATGGGAGACTAGAGAAACCAGTCCATGTTCACTCCTTAGGGAGGATCTTAGGACCAAAAGTAAAAGTTGAAAATACCAGAGGAGGAGCCAGGTGAGGGGAGGCCAGGACCCTGGTGTTCAGAGCACCCTGTCATGTGGTTCTGGCACTGTGATACCTAGTGAGGTGGTTGGCTGAAAGATGCCCAGCTGTTATGGGCCTTGGAGCAGATCTGTTAAAACTCAGGGAACTTCTGCCTTACTGAGTGGTGTTTGGAGTGGGGGACTTCCAGATTTCAATCTGCTCCTAACTTGCTGTTACTTGGGTTCATCTCATCACTTAGACAGCATTCAATGTTTACATTTTTAGCATGTGTTTGTATATTTAAGAATCTTCTCCTAGCTGGTATTGGACTACAGTTCTACTACCCATGCATGCGTGAGATAAGCTAATGGTGTGGTAAATTAACTTTTGCAGTAGTTTGGTGTTTATAGTAGTCTAGTGAAAGAACTCAAATTACATTCAGTTCATATTATGGGAAGTCATATAAAAATGTTCCAATCAGGAAATTCATGCCTTTCCTAAAGACATAAATATGCCATTGCTTAAGTTTATTATTTTAAAATAGTGGTTATAGATTGCTCCTCCAGGAAAGATGACTTCTGGCTTATTGAAGTAGTTCCTGCTTTGGGGCGATACCAGAGGCTGGTGGCAAAGGGTAAGGGGCTTAGAGAGGAATTTCTACATTCACATTCCCATTCTGCAGCTTGTTACTTCTTCCCTATAGGTACATCGCCTAACCTTTTTGAGTGTTAGCCATGAGCACAAACCCTCATCAGGGCATGTAAAGATGAAATGAGATACACATTTAAATTTCTTAGTGTGGGGCTGGCATGTGGGCAGCTCCATCCTCGTGAACCTTGCTGAAGATGAGTCATTTAGAAATTCAGGGTATTGAGCAAAGGAATGTTTTATCATCATTTGTCAGCATGTCCTTTGGGGTCTCTAGAATTTCAAATGAGCAACAAATGATGACCACTAAGAATTAAAGATTAAAATTCTTTCCCCCATTGGCATACCTTTTGTGTCCTTGGTGTGGCTTATTTACTTTCTGGGTTTAAGTAGGGCAATCTAGGCAAAAACAAATAGCATTGTCAGCCAGCAGTTTCTTGAGTGCTCTTTGAGCCCCCAGAAGAGAAGGAGGACAGGGTGCTGGGGTAAGTGGGCCAGGGGTGGGAGGTGGGGGTGAGGGATAAGGAATGGAAGTCATTTCTGCCATGAAGGAGTTAATGATTTAGTTGGAGAGAGACTGTATTGGGGGCATACAGAGTATCCGATTTCGTTTCAGTATTGTGGTCATCCATTAAGCTGATCATCTGTTTTTAGTACAACCCATTAGTCATAAGAGAGTGCTTGTTGGCACTTTCAGCAAGGCAACCTTTTACATCTATCCAGGAAATTCCCTTGCCAGGAAAAGGCTGGGCAGCTCAGTGCTATTTACCCTGTTAACACCTTTAGTCTGAGCATGTCCATATCATTGCTGCAGGGCTTTGTTGAGAGACTGCTAGCTCTGCTGATCCTTATCTGCCCCGAATCCTAATGATGAACACCTAGGCAGCTTAGCCTCACTGGAGTCAGTTTATGAAAAAGGTGCACAGGACTGTGGTAGATGCTGTGTTTGCCAGACCAGCCTTCCTGCTGAAACATGGTAGCATCGCACCTTCTCCATGGTGATGCACATGAGATCTAGGCATGGGAACCCAGGCAACTCTAATGTTTTAGTTGCACCTTTCTTCTCTGCCTTCATTTTCTGTAGACTCTTCAGTTGCTCGCTACCTGCCCTTCTTCCTCCCTGTCGCTCCCCAAGCACTGTATTTCTCTTATGTAAAGCAGTCCCGTTTTTAGGGCACATGTTCTTAATGCTTTATTTTTTTCTTTTGGTACAGAGGATGGAACTCGGGACCTTGCACTTTTGAGGCAGGCGGTGGAACCACTGAGCTAAATCCCTGGCCCTCTTAATGCATTTTTCTTTCTTCTCCTTGCAGGGGAGTTGCTGAGCCAGCCTAGACCAGAAGGAGTGGCAGAGATCATTTGCCCCAAGAATGGTAGCGAGAGGGTGAATGTGGCCTTGGTTTACCCACCTACACCAACTGTGATCAGCCCCTGTTCCAAGTGAGTTGGCAAAGCCCCTCTGGTCCCTGCTCCTCACTCCTGATCCTAGCTCTGTAGATGTGATAACCAAAAGCAAAAGCCAAGTTCAACTGCATCTGCACAAACCTTGAAAAGTCCTCCAGGACAGAAGGGATTCTTCTGAATGACATCAGTATTGTGGCTTATGCAGCAAAATAGAAACATTACTTTCTCTCTTTTGCAATTTCCTTTTTTTAATTTTTCTGAGAAAGTCAGAACATTTTTTAACAGCTTTATGGAGATACCATTCACAAACCACACAAGTTACTCATTTAAAATGTACAGTTAATTGGTTTCTAGTATATTTGCAGTTATGTGCAACCAAAGGGAGCATTTTCTCCCGGATCATTTATGCACTTTGCTGAAAGGCTGCTAGGGTTTGCCCCAAACTCAGCCACTTTCCCAAGTAAAGTCTTAGAATTCTGTTGCTACAGTAGGAAGTGAGCCTCTTCAAACAATAGCAGGAGACTATTAAATAAGAAAAGTCTACAAAAAACTGTAAATTATTGTTTTTTGCTGCAGAGCTCTGATTGGTGAGTGCCTGAAAATGAAGGACTGAGCAGTTTGCTATACCTTCTCCCAGTATGGGCTTAAAGTCAGAGAATGAACACATGTAAACTAGTTTTGAGATAGAATGTGAGCTTAGTACTGTAGATAAAACTCCTGTTTGGGTTTTAAATTCATACGTTTATTTTTGTAGTACCAGGAACCAAAGAAGCCACTTTTAAAGCAAAGTGAAATGCACGTGTCCCTCACACCTTGAAAAGTAGCAACCAGAGAGCTTGCGTCAGATCTTGTTATGTGGTTGCTATCAAAGCATGATTTTTCTAGCCAGGTATTCATATTCATCCAACAGGCTTTAATTTTCCTTTCTGATTGGCTGCATAGAACTTTTTTTAATCCATAAGCGTTTTTATAAGGAAGAGTGGAACATTTGCATTTGAGAATTGTGACTTACCATCTTATCCTGTGAAACTCTCTGTTTGGCCAGCTGCCAGAGCCCTGTGTGGGAAGAGCCTTGCCTTGACCCTGAGTGAGAGCTGTCCTGGCTTCCGTGTGCTCTCTGCACTGCTGTGGTCTCCCATGGATGATCACAAGCTGCAGTGGAAGTGTGAGGCCCCCATTTTTTCCAAATTGGGTAGCTTATTAGACAGAACATCCCTAATCCATCTTGGCTGGAAAATATCACTGAAGACCTAAGGGAAATTCGTATCTAAAATTATATTCATAATACTGTTTTACCTAACATGGGCCTAGTATATTTCATCACTGATAGGACCCTTAGACATTGTGAAATCTTGAACTGCTTCTTAAATGTTAAAGTAGGATGACATAGTAAGTTCCTGTTAGCCAGAATATTTATCCCCTGCATCAACAGATCAAAAAATACATCTTACTGCTTTTCTAATTCCTTTAAATTTGAGCCCATTGGCCCCCTTTTATCACACACATTTAGGGTTAGAATGGAGAGGGATTACAGAACTAGTCAGATATGGAATGGAGAGAAAGAATTATTCAATACACTTCTCATTAATGTAAATTCCCCTGAGCCAAGAAGGACATGAATCTATTGTTTTGCTATAAACACCTGCCATTTAATAGGCAAGACAGGGGCTGGAGTTTTAATATCCACTTGCACAAGGAACCACAATGGCACTGAGCCAGCATTATCAGTGTTTTTCCATGGGCTTCTTCTACCACCATAGAAAGACAACATTTACACAAGCACACCTCCCCCAGTGTTGTCAGCCTTCCACTCTCACAGTTTATCATGGCTAAATGAGGCTAGCAGCTCTAATATCATCAGTAATCAGAGGCCTTGGGCCTATACTGGCTGGAGCGAACACCTTTAGGGGTTAAACTATTTTTGACCTAGCAGTCTGAATAGTTTTATTTTGAAATGAGTCCTCAAAATTTCATAAGATGAAAGGCAGCTTTGCAATATAATTCTCAGCTCTAAATGAAGGAATAGTCTCTAAATAGGAAAGTTTCATATCTCAGACCAGGTATTTTTTAGTACACAAGCAAGGAGAAAATTGCCTGTTTGGGGACCATTTATAAAAGAGTATGCTGAGATTTGAAGTCTATTTAATGCCATCCTGTTTCCCCTTAAGCATCTACAGCTCATCCACAACTCATAGCCATGAACCCAAAACCAAAGCAAACATCCATGGAAGCAGTCAGGCCTGTGAAAGGCTTAAGACACAAGTGGATGGCAGTGTACTGGGAGTGGGAGGTTTGTAGGGATGGACAAGGATAGCTTTTAGAGGAGATAGTCACTATGTCACATGACCTAGGCCTGTACCTGAGTCTTGGGGTCTTGGCAGACAGGGGAGTCAGGGAATTGAGGCTGTTGCACTGTCTGAAACTCCAGACAAGTTAACAAGAACTCAGTACAGTGATCTTTTACTTATGTATCATCCCACACAGTGTAGGCAGGTGGACAAGACCAGGCTTTCTTCATCAAGCATGTATATCAGCATTTCCAAAGGAAGGGGCCAGGCTGGATGTTTCAGAAGTCACCCAGTTGATTGTAATGTGTGTGCACTAAACTCAAATCCCTTCTCTGCTTCTATTTGTGAGCGCTGGCCAGGGAGCCTTGTCTTTGGCTCTTGGGCTTTTCTCTGAGTGCACTGCCAAGGCAGACTAAATGTTTGCTGCATTTCTGTCAGCCTCTCACAGGCCTCCCATCCTCACGTAGACTGAGATAGCATTCATTCTCCAAATCAAGAAAAGATTGAGAATGATAGGGAGGCTGTTAATAATTATGCTGGGACAACAGATATCATCCAGAGCAGTTCTAGGTAGCAGGATAACCACCCTATTCCTAGATTATTAATCTGTATCTTCTGTTGACTTTGAAAAGATATTCCAAGCCCTTCTTTGATGAGTTTATCCTCTCCTTTCTAGGTCAGATCTGAGACTTGTGATTTAACTCCCTGCTTTTGACCATATGTAAAATAATGGTGCTGTAGTAAAGTTTATAATTTTAAAAAAAAACTACCAGTGACTATTATTTGATCCTTAAGAATTCCAACCTTTTCTATTTCTCACTTTAAAGTTTTTAGATGTTTTATTCCTCCATGGGAGAGACAAAGAATAAGAAGTAGGTAGTGATTGTTTTAAAAATGTGGTCTAGCCATATAGCTTGCCTCAGTGGTTGGTGATTGAGGTCTCCACCAGCTTCCTTTTGAGAAGTTGTTTTGTGAACTGATGAGATTCCCCTCTCTGCTTAGGTATCTTCATACTTTCTGGAAAATTAAGTAGAAAGGATAGAGCTTCTTTCCCTTATGCCATCATGTTTACTGTACCCAACCTGTGACTTTAAGGGCACCAATTTTTAAGGGTAAGTCTCTGGGATGTACAGCATTTTTTTAAATAGATAAGGTCCTTCTGAGGACCTGCAGTGTTTAGGGGGAAAGCAGGGGATGACAGTCTGGGATGAAGAGATTCTATAGAGCAGAACATCCTAGGATAACTAATTTTTACTTAGCCAGGAGTTGAGTGGCTTCTTGTTCTCTTTGCTGATGGTCAAATAGAAATGTGAGTAATTTGAATATTTTGAATATCTTGACGTTTAAGGGTATCTGCATTTGACATGAAATGAACGTGCAGCTAGTAACAAATTCACCTGGGTTGTTCCAAAAGATTGAGACTTCTTTGAGGATACAGATTATATCAGATACATTTTTGAGTTCTAGTAAAGTATAATTTCCATACCGTGAAGATCCCCCATTCAGTGATTTGTCAGTATACTGACAGAGTTGTACAACTCATCACCACAATCTAATTTTAAAACATTTTCATTACCCCCAAAAGAGAACTCATGGTAATCACCATCACTTGTGTCTAATACAACATCCAGTCCCAAGTAGTGTCACTTTCCAGAGTGGTTTTGCTGCCCTATGTATTGGTATTAAATGGATTGCTGAGTTTTAAAGTTCTCAGAAACACATGTTACCCTTCTCTCAGTTCAATCCAAAAGCAGTCCATTTACCTGCATAGCCCACTGCCAGCACCTGGTGACCGGGTGATGGGAGATAGAGCTGCTTAGAGTGAGGTGAGCCTCCTTCAGAACTTCTTAGTAGCAGCCCACTTGTCTCCAGATACCCAAGGGATGCTGAGACTTGGATGTTGGGAGTTCAAAAGAGAAAAAATATGCAATTGTCCTTTGGTTTCCATGGAAAGATTGGCTCCGGGACCTATCCCACCATATGGGGGCCAGAATCTGAAGATACTCAAATCCCTTACATAAAAAGACATAGTATTTACATATTGCCTATAATTTCCTCTCATATATTTTAAATCATCTCTTGATGATTGATAATACCTAATACAAGGTAAATCCTCTGTAAATAGTTGTTCTATTGTATGTATAGTGTAGGTACTAATGACAAGGAAAAAATCTATCCATGTTCAGTACAAATACATCCTTCCCCCCAAATACTTTTAGTCTGTGATCAGTTGAATCTGAGGATGTAGAACCCAAGCACAGTGAGGGTCAGCTGTACTTTCAGTGGGAAAGGCCTAAAGAAAGTAAAGGTTCGCTTTTCAAATTTTTATTCGTGAATTCCTGTCTCCACCTAGTAGTCCTTTTGGTTGAAACACTTAATATTTCAGTTCAGGGAGACCAGGAGGTTCTTTGGGCAAGTGACAGCTTGCCAGCTGCTTTTCATTTTTAGGTACCTTACAGGATACAGGATTCTCTTTCCAAAGAATTTTGACCAGTCTCCGCCTCCACCAATTGAACTGTATACTGTGGTAAATGGTCCTAACCCAACAGAACTACTGATTTTGTTGTAAAATACAGAATTCAACAGGCTCCCATATGAAAATACTTCACCTTGGGCATACAGGAATGACCTGCCCATGTCTTCCCTGTGCTTTCTCTGGAACATACAGGAAATAGGAATGTGCCATGTTTTTTCCTGACAGTCAGCCGTCCTCTTGTGTTGGTGCCCTGTCTGTGTGCTCCATCATCTGGGAGGTGGTGGCAGTTGGCAGAGAATGGGGAAGGAAGTTAATTCTGATTTTGGCAGGCTATGCATTGTAGAATTAGCAAAATTGGGCTGGTTTGAAAATTGTTGGGCTAAGCATTCTCCTTTTCCAGGAAGTACTAATAACAATAAAAGGCAAAGCTGAGATATGCATTTCAAAGCCCCCTTTTAGGAAGTTGGATTATTGCCTGTGTACAGTAGAGTTCTTATTCAAGCAAGAATCCTACTAAATTCCAATTAATTGCTATTGTAAGTATTCTCAGAAGTATGTTAATCATTTTATGTAAGAATTTTTGGGGCCGGGGATTTAGCTCAGTGGTTTCACTGCCTACTGCACAAGCGCAAGGACCTGAGTTCGATCCCCGGTACCAAAAAAAAAAAAAGAATTTTTGCAGTGACTTTGTTATGACATAACAATATTTAAGAACAACTGAAATATCCTTTTTAAAAATGAATGAAGTCTCTGGGGTCTTCATTTCATCAAATAAACAGGCAAAGCCTGTCTAACTGAACTCAAATTAGTTAGCTTGGGCTTGATAACATATTTTTAAAAGCAATGGAGATGAATTTAACTTTATCACAATGGAGAATTTTTCACTGACCGCAGAACTTTTAAACATGGAAGGTGGGGTGAACTGATATTTCAGAAGAAAAGACTGAGTGTGAAGGTTTCCTGTGGGGTAGATCATACTGATTTGCATTCATTTGTTTTGTCCTGTGCAAGAAGTGACAAAGCCCATAGCCTGGCTATTTTACAGGCTAGAAGGAATTGTGTTTCTTTGACTTTTTAGTCTCCCGTCAGCCACATTGATACTGGAATTTTTCTCCTCTCTGCTTAGGTATCTTCATACTTTCTTGGAAAATTAAGTGGAAAAGATAGTGCTTCTTTCCCTTATGCCATCATTTTTACTGTACCTAATCTGTGACTTTAGGAGCGCGAAATTTTAAGGGTAAGTCTCTGGGAAGCACAGAGAGTTCCTTAAATAGATGAGGCCTTCCTGAGGAACTGGAGTGTTTCGGGGGGAGAACAAGGGGGTGGGAGTTAGGGATGAAGAGATTTTAGAGAGCAGAACATCCTAGAATAACTATGTTTTTGCTTGTGCAGAATCCACTTGCATTTGGGAATTAGGAATAGAAACCATTTGCTTCTTTCATTTAGTTTACTGTAACATTACATATATCAGTAATCTTGTATTCTTGTTGGGAAAAAGAAGTGTACTTTTATATTATGCAGGACTATAGCACATCATATAGTTTTTTAATAGCAGTGTTTATATTTATTTTCTCCGGGTAGTTTGAGCTCTGGAGTTATACTTCTTGAGTGTGAATTTTTACTTTTATTGATGCCTTGACTCTAGACATCTATCATATAAGATAAGGAAGTACTTCTTAGGTTGTCTCATGCGTATAGACAATATCAGATCAAGCACTTAGGATAATTACTTACACAGAGTAAATGCTCAGTATATTTACCTGCTGCCATTTCTACTAGGGATAAATGTGGCATACACTATGGGTAGCATATAAAAGTAAAAGTAAAAACAAAATGTCACTGTAAATGTAGATACTGTACTGTGGTAAAATCTACCCACTGACTTATTAGCAGCTTATTAATTGAGGCAGCACCTTACACATGTTTTCTAGGGGTGAGAATATTGGCTTCCCTTTTCTACCACTACACAAGGGTCAAGGCCAAGTTTACAAAAGTCTATTTATAAAGCACCTGCGGTAAGCCTCAGTGGCAACTCTATCTTCTCAAAATAAAGAGATGAGTGGCATCCTTCCTTTATTATAGTCACAGATGTCTACAATATCTGACTCACTGGATCTTACTAGCAACCATATAAGTCACAGAAGGCAGAGCTTGCTGAGTCCTAGGCAGAGTCACTTTCCACAATCACAGTTACTGAGTGCCCAGCTGGATCTGCACTGTGCTCCCAGCTTTCGTTCTGTTTTCACAGTGCCAGATGCTGTCACATGCACGTGTACTTTAAAATATAATATATTTGCAGATCTGTAGTGTAGTAAGACCAACAGATCAGCAGGTGACTGCCATTGCCAACATAGTTTGTTACAGTTCCCAAGAGAAGGAGACAAGCTACACAGGGAAGTACCCATGTTGGTTATGAGGGAGAAAAAAGGAGGAAGTATAGACAGGAACCTTGATTGTGGTTTCCATGGAAATGAAGAGGCAAGACAGGTAAGGAGACTTAGGATTCTGGCACTCTCTGGGGTGTAGAGGCTCTTCGTAAAGGTCTAGTCCCTGGCCCTGGCCTGACCGGGCCAGATGGATGGTGACCCAGAGTGTGAGAGCTAGGGAAAAAGCGGGTAGGGTATGGGCTCTGGACTGGTTTGTTTGTATGTGGAGGGTCACAGCAGGTGAGTTGTTTATTATATCTAGGAACCGGCTCAGCCTGAGAGGGTCAGTCCCTCAAGGTCAGCAAGGCCCCAGATACCAAAGCATGGAACACAGGAAATAAAGGATGTGAGTTATACAGCTTGTGATGGCTTTGATTTCAGTCTGAGCATCTTTGATGCACTACCAGAGAGTAAGCTTATCTTCACTGGGGGAATGTGGGTCTGAGCCCCTAATTGAGCCCTTCCTTTCAGCTCTATGCCTCCATTTCCAGTGTCCTCCCTTGTAGCTCCCCTGGATGTCCTGTAGGCTTCATAGTGCAGAAATGAATTTCTTATCTTTCTCCCCCAAAGCTCTTCATCCATCTGTTTCCTGTCTCAGGTAGTGGCAAAGTTTGTACCCATCAGGCTCAACTAGAAATCTGTGAGCCTTCCAGGCATGGTGGCACATGCCTATGATCCCAGCACTTGGGAGTCTGAGGTGGAAGATTGTTATGAGTTTGAAGCCAGCCTGGGTTACATAGTGAGTCCAAGGCCAGTCTGATTTACAGAGTGAGACCCTGTCCGCAAAAAAGAACAACAACAAAAGGAAAGAAATCTGTCAGCCTCACTACCTTCCTGTCTTCTTCCCTATATGCCGTTTGTCGCAAAGACCTGTTGTCCTGTCTTACCAGTGTGGCTTGACAGGAGTATACTTGCCCATGTAACTTTCTCTTTAGCTTTCCATGAGGCTTCAATCTCTGCTGGTCTCTACTTTCTAGTCCTTTGTCCTTCAAACCAGTATTATCTTTTAATGTCAGTTTCCATCACATCTTTCCCTATGTTAAAGCCTTGGATGGTTTCCTGGTGACTACAGACTCCAGTTCAGAATCCTGGGCATGGCTTACAAGAGGAGTCAACCATAGTGCCCTTGATGGTTCTCAGTCCTTAGCTAGCCTCCACCTTTGTCTCTACCCAATAAAGGCCCATTTCCCCTAAGGCCAGAGTCGTGTGTCACTGTCTTTGGGAAGCATCCCCAACCTTTCTCATTCTAATCAGTTATTTTTCCCTGCACATATCCTTGATACTTTTAAATACACTTCCATTATAGGAAAAATCTCATTGTGTCTAAGCTACTTTTTACTTGTTTTTTTTTTAAACACATCTTATTCATCATTCATTAAGTCGTTATTATTTGCCCTGTAGTAGGTATTTGACAGATTTTAGGCGTGCAGGAATAAAATCAGACTCTGCCCTGAAGAATCTAATAGAATGTGAATTAAAAAAAATAACCAGACAAACTTGTGATTATCTGACTGCAATTAAAATAGAATACCTGGCACAATACATGTGTAAACAGGATCTCCACCAGGAAGAATCAGGAAAAGTTCTGGGAATTAGCATCTGAGTTGGATATTGAAGGATGAGGAGGAGTTTACTGAGATAGAGGGGCAGGAAAAAATAGAGAAAGTTGGAGATTCGACAACTGTTTTCCATCTGAATCCAAATGTGAAAAGTGGTACGGATGAGGGAAAATGCTGAATTGGATGAATGGCAAGATATTCCCTTTCCGTGCCCTTCACTAGGTGTTCTTGTGTTTCTCAGTGGTTCAGGGGAGCAGACAGCCAGACACAACTGTCTGCATTTCCAAAGGTTCATTAGATTCAGTGAGGAAAATATTTGCATAGCTCATCTGCACACCAACCCAAAACTTACAGACTATAGTTCAGTGCCAAGTCGAGACCTGTGTTTTTACACAGCCATCCCCTTCACAGCTTAGTTGTAGCATATTATTACTGGAATTTGAGACAGTTTCAAAACCTTATCTACTTAGAGTTTACTGTATTAATAGGCCTTCAAAGAATTATTTGGCTGAATGCCAGAGAAATGTGAAACTATCCCTAGAGCCCCAGATAGCCTATCTCTGTGTTATCTGTCAAGCTGTCTTTGGAGCCAGATAACCCTCATTAGAGATTCGGCTCTGTCCCTCACTAGTGGGTACTCTCTCTGCAGAAAGTTACTTAACTTCTTGGAACCTTGGTTTCTCTCTTAATAAAATGCAGGAGCTTACCTAATGGGATCGGTAGGAGGCTGATAATTAACTAAATAACAAGCTGCAATGAAGGGCAGAATTCCTGGCATGTAATTACTAAGTAGAGGGGACTTATTTTGGTGATGGTGTGGTCATTATTAAACTCAAACTATCCCGCCCCATTCTTGTATGGGCTGGAAGGATGTCCTAGTGAATGTCCAATTGTCAGTGTCCATGAAATCAAGCAGCACTGAAGAGAGATGGTGTTGGGGGCATCAGATCACAATCTCTTTACCTTTCTGTCTGTTGGTTGTCCATGTATGTTTATTAAATCTTGCTAAGACACTTTTAAAAACATCACATTGCATGTCCTTGTAGGAAAGCCAAAATAAACAGTGGAGATGTTTGACATGTTGTCCTCTAACTTGTTTGTTTGAATTGAATGCTACTTTGTTTAATTAGCTGAGGTTGCAGGAGTTTCTTCACTGTATATTCATCAAGTTCCATATTTGAATCAACAGCCTTGCTTGTAACACTTCAAGTAAAATCATGCCTTTTAGTCCTGACAGACATCCTTTCTCACTTTTTGTATGTATTTCTACTCCTGGAGGACTATATACTATGTGTCCATGTGTGTTTATTGAAATGAAGAAGTTCTGTGTTTAGACTTTGAGTCTCTTAATTAGAACTGTAGTTAAGATGGAACATTACAACTAAGTAAGTGGCAACAATCAATTGACATCACTCAGGCTTTATAGCTGACCTGAGCTTAACATCACAAACATTAAAAAGACTCTTTCCCTTGTGGGGACTAGAGTGACATGAGTTCTAGAAGTCGAAATGAAAATCTGTGCAGAAAACCATCACCCCTTTTTTACAATTATCATCCCTTGGATGAAAAAAAGAACTAAGATGTGTCCTGTACATGTATCAACTCCCCAGGATGAGTATAATCATTGTGTACTGCGTATGTTTACCAATAAGAAAGAGGCATATCACCTCTTAAATACAAAGAAAGACTATTATTCTCCAATGTACTTCTGTCATATCTGTGCTTTCTTCTCATCTACCCATCTAGGAAGAATGTTGGTGAAAAGCACAGAAATCAGTGACTTTTCTGGCTGTGGGGTTTCCATGGAGAAAACAGAGCAGTGGAGCCCACTGGGACCATCTTCTTCTGTACGTGGCATGCCCTCCAAGTCTCAAGCATGCAGGGTGAGCTGAGTGAAGATGCACCCAGGCTGCTTTGAGGCAACGTGGAGGGGCACAGGAAGGATGGGAGAGAACATGGAGCAAATGTTTCACAAACTGAACCTCAGAACTGTGATCCTCTAAGGAGAGCACTACTTGAAGAAGAGTCGAATGGCTTCTCAGGGATTTTGTTTTCTGTGCACATATAAGCCATAGTTACAGTACAGGTGGCAGTATTTAGAGCACTTCGGTTTCAGTTCTGTTCAATGTGAAAGAGGGATCGACCGACGTTCATTGCTGTTCATAACTAGTGTAAGATATGTATATGTTTATCTTTATTTTTATAATATGAAAATACCTTTAAATTTATACAGTTTGAAGCTTCTAGCATCAGTTAACACTGGGTGCAATATTCTGCATGAGAACTGTGCCAAGATGGGGCTGATTTCTTATGTTCGTGTAAGACACTTTTGTTCTCTCTTTATTCTTTAATCTGCCTTCTGAGTTTAGAAAGAAAGAAAGACAGCAATCAGTTAGCCCATAGATTTAATGTTGATTCATAGAGGTTGCCAGTAATCAGCAAGATCCTTCTACATGTGCTTCAGATGGTGCCCCTCCAGCCTCTCCGTTAACGGTCCTGCCTGTAAGTTAGTGGACGTGATGGCAGGATTCTCCTCATTCTCTCCACACGTATCATTAGTTCGGGGACAAAGATGAGGCATTTGGGGGGGAGCCAGAGGGGACAAAAAGTCCATGAAAAACCTGATCTTTGAATAACTGAAGATAATCAGAAGTGAATTCTGAATCATGGTGGGGGCTCTGCTAATATGTAACTTTCATTTCTAGAACAGAGTGCTTTGTGAACCCTCCACATCTGATTGTGGGACCTTCAGATAGAAAGCCACCTAGTTGGGGAGGCCAGTCCTATGCTGGCCATTTATTCATACAGAATCTGTTATTACACAATTTACTGCCAAGAACTGGTAAAACCCCTGTTTTGAAATCTTCGGGAAGTAAAACTTAAAAAGCAAACCCAGCAAGTTGCTCTTCAGTCTCCTACTTAAGGCTAAACAGCATCTGCTGTAAAAGTAATACATTCTTTGAAGAATGTGAAGACTCTGTTTACATCTGCCGCTGCTACATGTAGATAGAAAATATCTCAGTTTCTCACCAATGTCAGACAAGAAAAGTGACACCGCTGGTATTACTCTCTCACTTCATTCACATAATATTGACTCTTAGGATGCCACAAGACACAAAGTCTCCACATATTTTAAAAGAATATAAATGGCTAGATTTTGAGAAATCTCAGTTGATTTTTGTAGAATATTTTGTGCCCCAAAAGTTAACTTCAATGACTCCAGAGCCCCAGTTACACGAGTGTGATTTCCTATGATCTTAAAATCATGTGAGATCAGACTCTTTCTCTGTTTTTAATACTTGAATATGACCCTCAAGTTTGAGATTTCATTTTCCTTTTAGAACACAGTCACAAGATTAATTTGGTTAATCCTTTTGTCACAGTTCTCATTTGTGTGTGTGTGTGTTTGTGTGTGTGGGGATAAGTGTAAATGGAAACTGAATGTTAACATTTAATTGCTTTATGGACCACTGAATTGTTAGGCAATAAGAATTTTTTAATTGGCACCAGACAGTTCCTTACATCAACCAGTTCTGACCAGTCTTTGGATAAAGGCATTTAAATGGGTGACTTTGGGCTCCCTCCCCTGAAGACCATATTAAATGAAATGATGCCCCTTTGGGTGATATATCCTGTAAAGTATTTGCTATTTTCCATGAACATCAGTGCCCATGTTCTTAGTATCTGCTCTTTTTTCACACATGATGTTTTGTTCTGTCATCTGAACCCTGAAGAAGCAGTGTAAGAGGTAAGCTTGGTGTTGAGTGTGTTTGGGCCTAAGGGTAGGCATGATAGAGGGTCCTGTGACCACAATAAGCTCTGGAAGAGTATGGGGAGAGAGTGGAGAAACAGAAATACTCTGCTCTGAAGCAGTTTTTGCCGTCTGTGTAGGAAATTCCATTTTCTCTTTCAACCCCCAGGAAGACTCAACAACCAGCTGAGGCTGACAAGCAATTCACTAAGCACAAGAGGAATTTTTTTCCAACCTAGGAGTCCCTTGCCTCTCAAACAGATGCCCTGCAAGTTTGTTATGGTTTCTATTCCTGCAACTTGTGGTATCAAAGCCACTTCCTGGAATTGTAAAAGTGCTGCCAGAATGTTTTCCCCCCTTCTAAGAAAAAAATGACAGTGCTCATATTTGACGCTGAATCGAAATGTATAATTGATATTGTGAAATAGCATTGGACTCTCTTTTGAATGAATAAAGAGGAAAGGGACTGATGTGATTCCTGACAGTGTGTGTTGTTTTTCGTGCCACAATCTGCGAATTGTAATTGTAGTTCCCCAGTTTGTTGTCGTAACCAGACAGAAGTTTTTTTAAAAAAGAAAAAATTCAATAAAAATGCAAAGAAATGGCTAAGCAATAATACTCCTAGAGTTTAGTTATTTCTGTTTTTGTTTTTAGTTTCAGTTTTATCAGTTTAGTAGTAACTTATATTTTTCATTCTTAAGTTTGAGGTATGGGAGGTGGGGTCCCCGCCTTCATCTGTTTGGGGATTAAGTCCCCAAGGGGAAGACTTAAGAGTCCTAGTTTTAAAACTGTGCTCTGAAACACTGGCTCTGTCTCTTGGGGCTGGGGGTTGAGCCCAGAACATGCTGAGAAAGCACTCTGCCTCCGAGCACCATCCCCAGCCCAACATGGGCTCTGTCTCTAAATCAGATTGTTTTTTCAGTGATCCACTATGTTCTTAGATCAAAGCTTATGAATTTATGATAGGTTTAACAGTTCCCTTTCCTGTTCTGTCTTCTATGGGCTCTTTGCAGAACTCCTGTCCCAGCTTTAGAGGTGTTGCCCCAGAGCCCTCTGGTAGGGACCTGGTCAGAGGTTCTGTTCCTTCAGGTTTTCAGAAAACGGCAGCTGAGAATATATGGAAAGGAAAAAATTGAACCTGCATCTTACAGAGGCAGTAGTCTCTGAGGGAAAGACCAAGACCAGACAAGCCCTGCCTTTAGCCCCTGGGGCTCTGAACCAGGAAAGAAAAGGCAGCCTCAGGCTCGGCAGGGCCCTGTTGCAAGACTCCTAAAAAGTTAGCTGAAGACATCGAGTGCCCTGAATTCAAACATGGCTCCACCAGAGGACAAGCTGAAGCATTTGGTGGTCAGAATTTCAAAGAGTAGTCTAACAGTTGTGCCTCACATGGACGGGCTCCCCTCACAACAGTGTCGCAGTTCTCAGCCCCACTCAACAGTGTGAGCATAAGTCACCAATTCAGTGCTGGTTTTTCTTTACCAAGAAACTCTGAGGGCTGGAGGTATATAGCTCAGTGGCACAGCACACCTACCACGTGCCAAGGCCCTGGGCTCCATCCTCAACACTGCAAAGGGGAAAAAGAGGAGAAACAGTTCTTTAAACTTGCTGATCCTGAGCAGGTCATACATAAAAGCAGGTACAGTCTCGGTGGCAATAATTAGAAATGCATTATTTTATCACAAATGCCACTCCCTGCCAAGGCTATTTCCCCCTGCTCATTGTGAGCCTTTGAAATAGGTTCCAGGTTTACTGACTGAACTTTGACTGCACGCTACCTAACACATGAAGGCTGCTTTTATGGTGAATCCTGTGCCCACAGTACCTGTTCCCCTGCCCACTTGTGTCACCCAGTAGGACAGGTGGGAACTGCTGGGATTTGCTATTGCTCTGCCTAGAAAGGGAGTAGAGTGGAGTGTATGAGTTTTTCCAAAGCAGATGGCCTTTGAAAAGATCCGGGTTGGACAATTTGAGTAAACTTGCCTGATAACAGAACCCAGTTTGAGTATTTGTAAGATCTCTTCAGGAAAGAAACACCCCTTAATTTTTATATATATGCAGTACATTCTAATGAACTGAATTTCATTCTAAACACTGAACCTAATCCAGTTTCCCAAACTGCTCCTTGAAATATTCGTGACATCAGAGATGCTAACATGCTGCCCTTTACAAGGGCTCTGAGATCCAGTAAACTTGTGAAATCCTTTGTTAAATAGAACTGAAGAGTCTTTTCTGCAGGACTCAGGCCCTTTCAGATGTCAGTATAAAGTAAGAGTCTCTAAAAGGGGAATAGAACGTGCAGCATTTCCACATGGGTCTGAGTGTGAAAGGGAGCCTTTTCCAACGGTTATCTATGGACATCTCCCAGGACCAGTGTTTCCACGCAGACGGATGTGTGCTGTCAGTGTGGCCACTGCAAGCACTCAAGGCAGTTTGAGTGCAACAGAATCACTTCCGTGTTGATGCAAATATGGCAATTAACAGCACTGGCTGTACGAAGCCTCTGTGTAAATCCTGACTCCTCCATCTTGTTATCCTGTGCCTCAGTTTCCTGCTGTGTAAAACAGTGGAAACAGTCTAGCTTATGCAGCTATTATGACTATTCAATGGGGCATCATGTATGAATTGCTCATGACAGTAAGCAATGATTAGAGCTGATCTTACTGTATTTCACAGTTCTCTTTTTAACAGAGAAGGCAGCCTACAAGCTCAGACCCTTTAATAGTACCTAGCTACAATTTTAATGCTTTTGTTTCTATTATATTTATGAATTATCTATTTGCACATGTGATAAAAGTTTGCTTTAAAAATGAATACATTTGAAAAGGAGTACTATGTATTTATTTATTTTGGTGCTGGGGATGAGCCCAGGGCCTCTCATGTGCTAAACAAGTGTTCCACCACTGAGCTGTAACCCTAGCCCTAAAAAGAGATAGTTTAAAATGTTAGCAAGAAAAATGTTATGTAAGTATAGGTACTATATAAATATGTAAAACTCATGAAGGTATGGCGGAAATTATGAAACTGGTATGTGAATGTGTGGGTAACAAAATGGGAAAACAAAGTTTGAGACCACTAGTCTAAGAATTTCCACTGGTTTAATGCAATCCGTGGAGAGACTGGGTGATTTGCCTGAGTATGTCCGAAGGATTCCAAAGCTTTTAAAAATACTTCTCCCAGTTTTAAATTTTTTGCCTGAAATATTGAATTATACAAAAATTGTATATTATAAAAATATACAATATTATAAAATTATTGTCCTAAATATAAAATTATTGTCCTAAATTTGAAATTTAAAGTAAATTATGCATTTTTAAATGTTTCAGTGAGGTCAAACATTTTTTCATATAAATACAATTTTGAAATTTGAGAGAATTTATTTGATTTGTGAAAACTTTTAACAGTTTTTGGGAGGCACACATTTCTCTGAATGTCTTACTGAGGCAAGACTAAGAAAAGTAAACACATGGTTCACTCATGAGAAATAAAAACAAAATCTTGCTGACTAGTTTGGTATCCATGGAACAGGACAAATTGCTTAGGTTTATTTTATGCTCAATACTTGACTGGCTGGGAGGACTATATCCCTCTTCCACTTATAAGGTGAAGGCTTCATGGAGGACCAAGACTCTGGGCCTGGTTACCCCTGCCCCGCTCTCACACAGGGCAGAGATTCCATGCCAGGAGAGGTAAGCCAAGGCAGCAGGGCTGCCCCTCACCCTCCTCAGAGTCCTGGGTCCCACCTTCAGGTCCAGTGTGGGGACCTGAGCCTTGTTCATGGGAGAGAGATCTGCGGCTGTGCCTCTGCTGGGAGGGTGTCTTTGAACACAGCAGAGACCTTGGTTAAGAGAAGTGAAGGAGGCTAACAGCCAAATGGTGCAGGGGAAACTGCATTGCAGTCTGAAGTTAACAGAACCAGAGGAAGAACCCAGAAGACCAAGAAGAGCACCTCAGATCACAGTCGATTCTGGGGATCCGGAAGGCAGTGTAAGTGCACTATGCCACACCCACCCAGGGCCCATCCCAGTAGGGTTTGGGGTGGTCCTGAAATAGTCCCTGAGTTGTACCCAGACTGGTCCAGGCAACACAGGATCCTCCTGGCACCAGGGGCTTATAACAGGCCCCTGGGCAAACACTGGCTAGAAAATAAGATAGTGCAACCCAGGAGGGAATCCCAGGAAGCCCATTAACACTAAAATCTCACTCATTCTTGTACTCTGGAACACTAAGTATAGTCCAGGGCTGAGCCCTCTCTGGAGTGATCAGTGAGGGAACTCCAGGCTACTTGTCCCTAGATGAATGTAGAGCCAAAAATTAGTTCCCTGAAGTGTGATCACAAGTTCCAAGCTCCGTACACAATACCAAAAGGTAAGAGACTAACTGATAAAGGAACTTAAGCACAACATTTGACCAATAAGTGGCTGACATAAACCCAGAGGGACCTCTGGGTGTAGCCAAAAGATAAAAACAAAAACAAGGGGGAAACTCAGATCAGAGATATTAATGAGCCCCAATAAAGGAAATTACATAGGTAGTGATAAAAACTTCCTAACTGTGTATTTTCTCACCTTTCTTCACCACCCCCCTTCCCTCCATACTGGGGACTGAACTCACAGTCTCCACACTGAGCTACATTCCCAGCCTCACCCCCTTTCCTTTTCTTTTTTGAGATAGGCTCTCATTATGTCATGAAATCTCTTAGGCTGGCCCTCTAGTTTCAGCCTCTCCAAGTTCCGGGATTACAGGCCTGTGCCACCACACCCAGCTATTGTTCTCCTGACTGATTTTGAACATCAGTTTGACAGCCAGGCCTCATGGTGCATGCCTGAACTCCTGCACTCAGGAGGCTGAGGCAGGAGGATTGTTGTAAGTTGGAGGCCTGCCTGGGATACATAGGTCAAGATGAGCATGAACTACATGGTGAGACCCTGTCTCAAAAAAACCAAAACCCACAACAACAAAAAAGGCAATGTCACAAAACAATATGTATTTATTTATACTGGTGCTCCTATAACACATAGAAATATAGTCATGTGCCGCATAACCTTTCAAAGTCAGCATGTACGATAATGGTCCCTTGAAGTTATATTGTCCATTGACTTTACAGCCATACTAGTTTGTATAAGTACTCTCTGTGATAGTCACATAACAATGAATTTGCCTTACAAGGCGTTCCTCAGAACATAGCCCTGGCACTAAGTGACTCATGACTATATGTGTCAATAAGAGCACAAAGGAGGCAAATGAAACAAAGCAGTACAGGAAAATACTCAAGATCTGGGCTGAAGAGAAAGGTTTCCCAGCTTTCAAGAGATCCTGTGTTCAATCCCTACCAATGCAAAATAAAAATCCAAAAGCCTTGGTTCAATTCATTTACTTGAGCAGCTCACAGAACTCAGACAAACCCTTGCTTACATTTACTGGCATATTGCAAAGGATACATATGAAAAGATGCATGGGGCAAGGTCCAGAGAGGGTTTGTGTATC